GTTGGAACATGTGACACCCCTGCATTAAGCTCAGACTCACCTCCTCCTTCACAAACATACTCAAAACTAACTTTTACAAATCCTCTCCTCCACATAACTGACTCCTCAGACACAAATTATTCGTATTATTATAATTATTATTATTTTTATTATTACTATAATCATCATAATTATTATTACTAGTAGTAGTAGTAGTAGAAGTGTAACTTCAAAACTTTTATCATTTAACTTTATTATAAACCTATCTATTGCAATGTATATTTTCACATTAAAAAGCTCTGAAAAATGAACAGTATCATCATCGTCAACAGATTTTTTAAGCTTAATGTCAAAGATGTACACTTTTCATTAGATTTATCTTATTTTTTCCATTTATTTTTTGTGTGTTGAAATGCAACAATTGTTTAAACACTTTTAAGGGAAAAAACATATTTAATATGTTTTTATACACTCAAATGTTAGGGTGATGATCATGTGTAAAACATTAGTTCAGCATGTCCTCTAACACAGCAAATGAACAAACGGCCAGATCTCAGGAGGGACCGTTTATGTATAAATAATTTTTATACTTTTGACTAGGCCTGGGAATGTAACAAATTTTGCTGGACGATATTTTGTCCAACAAATTGTTGATGATAAACGATATTGTCAACATTATCTAGACCAAAATAACCACTAATATAATGTTAATATATCATAATAATGCAAATACACCCTTTAAAATGCAACAAATAAACCTTCATTTAACATTGAAATGTCCAGAACCAGAACTTCTAAATGAATAAAAATAACAAACAAAAATTAAATAAAAAAGGAATCTCACTCCCTGTTAGAAAATGTTGCACCAAAAACAATAAAAAAAGACCCAAAACAATAAATACAATGGCCTATCCATTGTCAACAGCCAAAACTGCACTTCAATAATGATAATAAATAAAAATAATAATAGAGTTGTACATTTTTTAACTTTGATATATATATATATATATATATATATATATATATATATATATATATATTGAGGATGGAAAAATTATTGAGATGGGCACGTGACGTGTTAAGGGGTCTTTACATAACACCCCCCACCCCAAATCCGCACAAGCCTGCTGTGTCCCCCCCACTTCTGAAATCAAAATTTCGTCCCTGGCTACATGTTATGGTGTTTGTATTCTCGCCTGCTGTAAATTTGTCTGACGTTAGGTTATTGTTGTCGTCCAACAAATACATTGTTGTTCTGAAAATATCCATCCCAGAATACATTTTAAAACATTTGTTGATTTTTAATCAGCTATGTCCCTTCTGAGATTTTAAACGATGCTCTGCCCAAGGCTCTTGTGTCCTGTCTGCCTGTGCTCTGCGCTTCTCTGAATTTCTTCTGGAAACTGGAAATCATTAAACATTGATCTGGTCAGTTGGTCTTTCAACGCGATTGACAAAATCTTCTCAACTATGAGAACGGGAGAAGGGGCTTCCGGATGCCCCTCTGGAACAGAGCCAGTTGGGTATATCATGGACTCCTGGAAACAGTGGAACTTGATATGTCTGTCTGGATGTCTGGATATTCGTCGTGTTGGTGTCAGGATTTCTGCTGTTTGGCCTGAGCGGCTACCTGGCACACCGGAAAATTAACGGGTTTTCGAGGAATATTGGCTTAATCCCGGAGCTCAGGGATGGAATTCATCGTACTGTAAACTCACAGAGTCAGATAATTGTCGAGATGAGTCGTAAGCTTGGAACTTTGGCTGAGATTCAGGCTCTGGCACAGAAGATTGATTCGATCGAGGAGAGAGCTGACGGATCAGCATGGATTGGAATAGTTTGATAATGCCATCATTGGACCTGGAGGGGTTGAAGACCAACAGAACTCTAAGGCAGAGAGAAAATTATCTCTGCCTGTACCCAAAACAGTTCTTGTTATCTGAATCTGGTGCCCTTGAAGCCTGTGAGGCTGAAGTGTAAACTCCCCTCAGAAGAAATGTGGAATGCTGCTGTCGCTATGGAAACTCTTTCTCCCAATCCCAGCCTGGGCGGGACTCTGACCGGTGAAGGCCGTGGAACCGTCTCTAGGAGTCAATGTGCTCTCTAACCCAGTTATCTCCCTTCCCCGTCCAAACGGAGGTGGTGAGCGCTGCTCTTGCGGCTGTGCACTCTAAAATGAGGAGAGTCCCAGAACCCTCCATCCCCACCTAGTGGAGACTTATGTTGTGTATCGTCTGAAGTCTGTGTGCATATTTGTCTGAGGTGTTTTTTTTTTTTTTTTTTTTGCATAGCAAAGCTATCCTCTCTGTTGGGGGTAACTCTGAAGTGCCTTTTTTCCCTCCCCCTGACTCTATCCTCATATAAACCCTCTTGATCTATAACGGTAGTGCGACTCGTGTTGCGAATGACCACAGTCAACAATTCTTGTATGTCTGATCTTGGAATTGTCTATACCAAAACAATTGAATTTCCCTCTGGGATTAATAAAGTATTTTTGAATTGAATTTGAATTGAATTACTGTAACGGCCCTAAAGATAATCTTATAAGATAATCGTACCATTTGTGGTGTTTTTTGCGCAATCTGGACCACTCGGAAGGACGTCCAGACCGTTCCGAACATGTTGGATTGTCTTGGTTAGCTGTTGAAGGACATTACGCCCCTCCTCCACCATGTTTGTTTAATTCAAAGTCACGTTTTTTTCTCGTGAGATTTCCCGCCTGAGTGGGAAATGTCTGTTAGCAGCATTTCATTTTTGCAGAGTTGCTGCTCATCAAACACTGTGTGACCAAAACAGAAATATTGATGAATATTTTTATCACCATACGTTAAGTTTGTCATGCTTTGAAAATCAGCTGACAATTTATTTTAAATCTCTGGTGTGTAAGATGGGAGGTTGTGTAAATTTCTCCAAAAATTGCCAGACCTTTACTATGTAACATATATAGTTGCAGGAACAGTTTCCATCCTTCTGAGCATACATTTGTATAAGATCATCTGTGCATTCTGCAGATAAATGTGACTTTGGATTAGTATTCAGGGTGTCCCCACCCCCACCCATCTTCACTGGGGCTTTTCAATCCCTCTTCATTAGATTTTAATAGTTTTGTTATTGCTCAGGTCACAGAGGAGTGTGCACAAAAGAATGCAAATTTCCCCCCGTGCTGGATTTTGTTTTAAATTATGCTGCTGCCCTGTCCTTAGTGCAGGACATAGATTATTCACCTGCGTCAGTCGGGACGTTGGGTTTATTATAGTTGAGCTGTGAAAAAACAGCTCAACTGTGAGGAGTTTGGTTTAAATGCAGAGCCTCAGATCAAATATTCAGCTCATCACATAATGTTATGTGATACTAAGACACACCAACACATTCGCTTACACACACATTTATGAATATCTAACCTCAGTCAGGACATCTAAGGCCAGATTTAATCAATCGCAGTCAATAAATCCTGGTCAAGATAAAGAGCTGAATCTCATGCAGCGCCGGCCTCACAGGATTATGTCGGATGTTCTTACCCATCCCCTTACAGAACCAAGGGCACAATAAACAGCATTTCTGTTTCACCAGAGTAAACTTTAGTGTTCTTATAGAATGTGTGCAGTTAATAATATCATAATCTTGAGAGAGGATGGTGTAAACACAACCAGGCCATGCCAGGGCGGGCTGTACCCAAGGAAACAAAAGAAAACGCCTCGGCTAGTAGAAGCTAACTGTTAGCATTAGCAGCTCCACAACACAGCAGGACTCGTCCAGGCTTGTGTTATTTGTGGAGATAAAACATCAGCTTTACAGACCAAATGGAGTCAGTGGTAGAGTCGTGTTGCTGTTATCCAATCAGAGATGAGATGTCCAAATATCAGGAAATAAGACGCCAAATACTGCCGTGTTCCGCCACTTTCCCCTCTGGTTGAATACTTTTTCTTTTTATACAGTTTCATTATTTATTTAGCAATTTAACCTTGATTCAGATGATTAACTCATTAGAAAAGGTCATTGTTTTAAATCATATTGCTCTCCTATGGTGTTCTTAAGCACATATGTAGCTTTACCCTTGCAACAATCTATATACACACAAAACTGCTCATCCATATTCAAGAACGTACCCACAAAAGATGCTCAATTAGATTCACATCATTCGCCGTTAACACCTTTCAGGTTTTATTGATGCATCTTTTTTGTCATTAATTCCAAACAGTCCTTTGGTTATGTGTGTATTTCTAATCTGCCAGGAGCAACTGAGCTGTAAAATGAATATCACGAGAGATGTAAAAACATACTGCAGATGTATTTTGGCTCAATGTTCACACATTTGTGTTGCTCTGAATACACATCCTCTGTTTTTGTAAATTTCATAAATTCACTCGTTTACATTTTTACCACCAAAAACCTTTAAAGCTGTGGAACACTAAAAAATCTTCTTTTAATGGTTTCATTTCTGATTATAATCGGACACTCTGAGTTTTTCACGCAGGCTGGACATGAAAATGGTCTCCTACACCAGTCTCCTGCGTTAGCTTATGGTAGAAAAAAGTGAAACTCTAGGATTTGAAAAGTCTGACAGATCTAAGTCACACAGTCACTTAACATTCATGGACTCACCCATCTTGACTCATGAAGGCTGTTGTTGGTTTAGCGTCCAGGAAAAAGCAGGTAATGTCTCGACTAGTAGAAGCTAACATTAGCATTAGCTACTCCACCACACAGCAGAACTCCTTCAGGCTTATGTTAGTTGTGGACATTAAACATCAACGTTGCAAAGTAAATGGAGTCAGTGGTAGTTGCAATGCCGTTATCCAGTCAGAAGCAAGGTGTCCAAATATCAGGAAATAAGACTCCAAATCCTGCCACACTCTGCTCCAGCTGCATTTTGCGTGCTGATACAGGAGCTTCTGCCCCCCCCCCCCCCCCCCCCCCAAAAAAAAAAAACACAAACCACTGCAAATACATAGACTAAATGGGTATTGAACAACTTTAATTACTGTGCTAACTTGTCATTCTGTTTTCTGCTCTCTTCTCAGATCCTAGCCATCATATCAATACTTTTCATCGTTCTTTCCACCATCGCCTTGTCTCTCAACACCTTACCAGAGCTTCAGGATATTGATGAGTTTGGGCAGGCCAACGACAACCCCCAGCTGGCCCATGTGGAGGCCGTGTGTATTGCATGGTTCACCATGGAGTACCTCCTTCGCTTCCTGTCTTCCCCCAACAAGTGGAAGTTCTTTAAAGGCCCACTCAATGTAATTGACTTACTGGCCATTCTGCCCTATTATGTCACCATATTCCTAACTGAGTCCAATAAGAGTGTGCTGCAGTTCCAAAATGTGCGACGTGTAGTGCAGATCTTCAGGATCATGAGAATATTGAGAATACTGAAGCTGGCCAGGCACTCCACGGGGCTTCAGTCTCTAGGATTCACTTTGAGAAGGAGCTACAATGAACTGGGGCTCCTAATATTATTTCTCGCCATGGGCATCATGATATTTTCCAGCTTAGTCTTCTTTGCTGAGAAAGATGAAGATGCCACCAAATTCACCAGTATCCCCGCCTCATTCTGGTGGGCGACCATTACAATGACTACAGTGGGCTATGGTGACATTTACCCACAGACTTTACTTGGAAAGATTGTGGGTGGACTCTGCTGTATTGCAGGGGTCTTGGTCATTGCCCTCCCAATCCCAATCATCGTCAACAACTTCTCAGAGTTTTATAAGGAGCAGAAGAGGCAGGAAAAAGCCATCAAGAGGAGAGAGGCGCTGGAGAGAGCCAAGAGGAACGGCAGCATTGTGTCTATGAACCTTAAAGATGCCTTTGCTCGTAGTATGGAGCTGATGGATGTAGTGGTGGAGAAAGGAGATGACAAAACTTCCCTGGACAACCACCTGTCGCCGAGCCGATGGGGAGGCTCAGCTCGTCACTCCACCTCTGAAAGCAATCTTAGATCACCAGATAAAAGAAACCCAGAGTTTCTGCCGCAGAGCTCGCCCCATCACATCACCATCACCACCACCGGAAGTCCAAAGCGTATGTGCAGGACACCTCAGCACCTTAATGTCCAGAAACTGGAGGAAATGTACAACCAGATGACCAAGTCACAGTCCTTCACAAATCTCAACACTACAAGCTCCATGAGCACCCTCAGCACAACTATGACCGCTCCTGGTTCACCCAAGAAATCCCAGAACCCCGGCTCCACGTTAAAGGAGGAGGAGCAGCTAGAGATGAAGGAAGTTCAGTCGTATTCGAAGGGTGGCTTCACCAGCCATTCAGCAGACTGCACAAAACAGGACTTCAACCCTGGTCAAAATTATTCTGGGGTATGTGAGATCCAACATCCCAGAGCACCGCCCTTTCTGGATCTTGGCCTACTGAGGACAAACAATGACCCAAGCTCCACAGGAACCTTCTATGAATCTGTCAACCCAGGTGATGGATCAAAGTTAATTTTAGAGGAGGGGGAGTGCTATAACAGTGCTGTGGAGAACATCCAGAGCTCTCCAACAGACCCTGTAAAAACTAAAACAATGGAGGTTAACTTAAGAAAGCCCTCCAATGACGGTCCCCTTACACCACCTAGCACTACCTCTCCTGGAGACATCAGCTCCAGCATCCTGGAAGAGGAGTCCCCTACGGGAGAGGCGTCACCACTCATCCCCATATCAGAGGAGCTTCTCCCAATCATGGAGAATGCCTCCCTCTCTCCGAAAAGGCTGATGGTCGACACCCCACCTGGCGATGAAGATCAGTCCACGGAGAACCATGATGAGAAGAATCTGATGGAGGAAGCAGGTGCCGCAATTGCACCGTTGTCACCCAAGACGGCAGCACAAAATTGCACCCAAAGTGTGGTTGGGGCAGGTGAAGAGGCCAAGGCTGACAGTGGACACAAAGTAGAGAATCACATATTTACATCTGATATCCACCTGATTCCTGGGGATGGCAGCCTTTCTCCAACCTGTGAAACCAGCATGTGAATGTAACGGGAAGCGGTGAAGGACACTAGACCTACTGCAAGCTCAGCCCGGCATGTGGGAGAGCAGGGAGGAAAGTCAACGGCGCAGTTGTAGTGAAAGATACTCTTGCATGGCATGACAAGTCTCTTTTACTGTGTTGTTGTGTGTTGCTGATGAAGTAACTGAGGTGCTTTGTGCAGATTTCGGAGCAAAGTCTCGGGAAGTCCATCATCTAATGCAGACACAAGTTCTCCCAACTCCCAAATGACAAGTCCTTTTCCAGCAGGAGAAGGAAATGCACTAAGGGACCCATCTGTAAAAAGCATGCTTTTAAAAAAGACAGATATTTTATGGTGCTTAGTTTGCTGAAAGCACGCCACTGTAAATACTACAGGACAATGTACAGGACGGTAAATGAAGATCGAAAGGACAATGTGTGGAAAAAGGAAAGGGGAGGGTCTGATTCACCAGCCCTCGGGCCAGGGGTTGCATCGTAGCGATTTCTAAAACAAATAAAAAACATATCATTACCTTTTGTGGACATGCAAAGTGTTCCCATGACAACTCTGTAATGTTTCCTTTGTCTCTTGTGTAAAACGATGTATGAAAATGTAACAGTGATGTTGTTGCTTTGGTTTTTCACAAAAGTTTGAATTTTCAGTTTGAACATCCTATATCAAGTTTCTGAATTTAAAACATAACACCTCTTAAGCACACAAACTCGTTATGCAGTTGCCAAAAAATGTACATAATCAGTAAAAACAGGAACTACTAGATTTACAGCGGCTGTAATTATTTACCATAGAGGCTCAGAAAGTTAGGATCCTGTTTCAGGTCCTGTTGAAGTTCATCCAACAACACTCTGACGTTCTCATCTAGAGGTAGTTTTCAACACAATGATAGAATATTTTACTCTTAGATTGGCTGTAGAAGAAATACCTTAAATCAATCTCTTGAAGTGGTTTTATGGAAAGATTATAAAAAAAGAATATTCTACTTGTAGATGGCTCTTTGAATGACCTCAGTCTGGTGGGGCCAAGACCAAAATGGATGCTTGTCTAAACAGATCCACTCCCAAAACGTAAACTCTGCTGTAACTTAATTGGCCTTAAAATGCGAGGATTTTGGACAGAGCCATTGCTTTGTCCAAACTAGGATGGATGGATGGTAATTAGCCTGTATTTGTATTGCCCTTTTTTAGGGTTCTACAACCCCCCAAGGTACTTCACAACACAGTCATTCACCCATTCACACACACATTCACACGCTGGTGATGAGCTACATTGTAGCTACAGCTGACCTTGAGCACACTGACGGAAGCAAGACTGTCGAGCACTGGCGCCACCGGTCCCTCCGACCACCATCAGCAAGCAAGGTGGGTTAAGTGTCTTGCCCAAGGACACAACAGAAGCATTATCTGCCGGGATCAATCCTACAACCCTTCGATTACTAGACAACCCGCTCTACCTCCTGAGCCACTGCTGGATGAATGAATGGATGAATAGATATGCTAATTTATAGCCATTTACACCACCATCAGTTTAGCATTGTACGACTATAATGAAAAATCGTGATTCTCCAAGCTTCACCAGAGGTGCTACAGCTAGCAGCTTTTAGCAGATGCCAGTAACCAATTTTTTATGTAAGTAAACAAAGTGTGCAAGTGAATTTCATATAAAGTATTTTTAATGAATAAGTTGCATGAATCTGATATTTGTTTAATAAATTGGAGTTATTTTACAACTGCAGCAATTTTAGTCCTGCTCTGTCTAGCCTTAAGCTTATCAATCCAGACACTGAGGTTGTTTAAACAGCTACCTACAGAACCTAAAATAATCATTATTCATAATCTTGCCTCAGATATCAACATCAAATGGTATTAGGCTGTAAGTGAGAATCTATAAAAAGATAGTTAAGCATATCTGGTCGCTAATGCAGATATCTGCTTAACTTATTAGTATTTATTGTGACCATTCAAATGGACTAGGCTATGATACGAAAAAGATAGTATTACTTCTGATATTAATGGACCAAATGAAGCACACTTACAAGCTTCCATCTATCTTATCTGCATCTTATCGTATATAGAAGTAACGTGTTATAAACAGTAAAGTTTGTCGCTTATGGTTTGTTTACCTGCATCAAGCTCATTGTCTTATCCTCTGTATCCCAACGTCTCAGCATTACTGCAACTTTTACCCGATCCTGCTGAAAAGTTTCTGGCATTGTCCTTTTCTTTCTCATCCAACTGTGGTGTCTTGGACTGTAATTTATCATGTTTTATTGATGACAAAACAATTTTCAGTCAAACTTAAACCCAAAGGAGTTTTATTCTGGTCTTTTTCTGGCTATCGTTTTACACTGACTGAAAATATCTGTTGTATGTTGCCTTTGATTCCAATTTTTTGCTGGAATAGTTCGTCTCTTGTCTCGGAGAGCTAGGAAGTTGTTTGTGAAATCAGCACAAACATGAATTGCAGTGACAGGAAGGACATGGAAATATTATTTTATGTTTATTGTTTTTTAATCATTATTAATATTATCACCATGTCTTTATTTATATTTGTTAATTGTTTTCTCACTGGAAGGTGTGGAATGTGCAATACCGCATACTGCAATCTATGCAGGCCAAGAATTGTGGCACTTTATTTATTTCAATGGGAATTTTTAAGTGTACAGGCAGACATTACTTGTATTTTATTAAAATGTTATATCTTTAATATGAAGTCAAACAGTGTTACAACTACCAGATTCTCATAAATAATACAAATTTTTGTTATATGGCTGATAAAATGCTGTCAGAGCACCTTAATGAAAGCTATCAGTGGACTTCCAATTTGAATATTTGTGGGGAAAAGTGATCCAAATTGACCACGAGGGCCTTTTATATAGATGTAAGATGTATGGAAATCTAAATAATTGTTTGTGGAAGAGATGATCGAACAACAGTGGCCACATGGAAAGTATTTTGTGTTTTTTTGTGAATTAACACTGAGAATTATTCTATTTTTTCTAAACTAAAATGGAGCACGACCATAATTTCCCGCCATACAGTGGTGGAAATGATGCCCGCCTTTTCAGAATGCTGCTGCGTGCGAGAAGGCAGCGAGTCATTTTGTTTTGTTCATATAGCACTGTACAGAAAATTCTAATTTTATAGGAGAATTCAGGTCTTTATGTAAATGATACCAGTAATGTTATTGAGTTCTCAGGTTTTCTATAAATCTCTGATGTTCCCATTGGATCGTTTATTTGTTCTTTTCATCAACAACTAATGTCAACTTGCTATGTCTGTACTTTTTGGAAGCTGTTGTCAAATCCACGTTGATGTCTTGGCTCCCAGGACCAGGAACTGCAGTATTTGTTCTAACTCCTGGGTAAAATGTGTTCTCCATGCAGTGTCCATCCCCATCAGTCTTCAGTGACAAATGAAGGAGTAAAAACAAGCTAGGAGAGGACCATTAAAGCAGAAATCCAGAGTTATTTTTCCCAGAAGGCACCATCTAGAGGCAGAAAAGTATATTGCACCACTTCCATGAATACGGCTGGAAGCAATGCCTCTCGTTCGTGAATGCGCACAATTTTAATTCTTGCGTTATGCAGTTTTTTCTTATATATGTAAATATATATATATATATATATATATATATATATATATATATATACATATATTTAGAGGTGTATTTATAAGAATGACATCCTATGTTCAAATCTGGTTCTGTGAGTTCGATAACTGTTGCCAGCTACGGCTCAGCGCCCGAAGATTCTTGATGAAGAGCAAAGACGAGTCACAGTAAGCTAGTAAGAAAATAAATACATTTCACTGTAATGTCAAGATGTTGGTAATTGAAAACGTAGCTTAAGATATTTTTTGAGCCAACTATTTGTTTCTAATTCACCGTTAGCTCAATGTTAGCCTCTAGACTTCTTTACCCAATATTATAATAAAAGTAGCATCCTAGGGTACTGAAATAACTTCGGGGTCGCTCCTGTTACTGATTAAGACTTATTTTGTCCATTAGAAATGTCGCCAACTCTGCATCAGTCTAAGTACTTTAACAAACGCCTGCTCTGTGATTGACATCCGTACGTAAGCAGATGTTGAACATTATTGGGTAAGGTAATGCTGAGCAGCAATTCGAATTGCATGGGACTCTGTGATGGTTTGTGTGCTTAAAAAAAAAATAAATGTATTGCCTAATTCATGTCACCATACAGGGTAAAACTATCACTTTTATTGTCTTCTAAAACAAAAATCATACAGAATTGCTCAAATGAGGGAAAACTCCGGATTGCTGCTTTAAGCAGGGAGAAGGACCAGAATCAGGACGAGGTCTCAAGCGTCCTTCAGCGGATCTGTCTAATTACTGGAACAAGTCCTCTAATTCTCAACGGTAGTCCGTGGCTAAAGGAAAAGCGAGCATGGGAAAAGTAACAGTGTCACTTTTCTGGTTCATATTCTTTGTTTTTCTGTGTTTATACAGTAGGCCCAAAGTAGCATAATCTGGCTCACTTTTTGGTGATTTGTTGATCTGTCCTCAAAAGAATCAGTAGTGGTGGTTATTTCCACAATTTTTACTTTATGAACAGAGATTCAAGGGTAACCTTGTTAAAATCTCTGAACCTGTACGTTATTCCTTTTTTTTTATCCCTTGTTTTTGGTAATCACTTCTCCATAGCAGCCTTTGTCGTTTTTGACAGACAGAGCAGAGAAAAGAGGGGGTGTGATGGATCAGCCATACCTCGGTAGGATGAACTTTGCGTTGAAATTAATTCTGCAGGCCTAACAGCAAAAGGACCGGGCTCTGTTTTACTGTCTCACTAGTCATCTGTGATCCTGTACCAAGTGGAAATGTCTTTATTTTCTCTGAGAGAATGCTTGTCTGTCGCTCATTTGTGCTTACCAAACCTTTTCCCCAAAAAACATACAGCAACATCATTTCTTATTTATGTATCTGTATATTCTGCCTCTTTTTTGAGATTTTCTTTCTCTGTTCAGCTTTGAGATGATATTATCATCAGACGTAACCTGAGCTACAGACTGTTTCTGTACAAAGCAGCATCTCTGTATGCATGTTGTAGTCCGAGCAATGATGTGACCACGGACACTTTATGGTACACATATGTCAACATTTCTGTAGAGCATTGTTTCCCATCACATCTATTAGAATTATGCAGAATAAAAAAAATAAATGTGTATATAACTCAAGTATTTGTGTCTGATATTATTATTATTATTATTATTATTATTATTATTATAGGAAATATGCAAATTAATTCATAAATCATTTCTTCTTAATCCTTTTGTTTACTTTTTGTAAGAATCCTAAAAACACACTTTAGGAGAGCTAGCATGCTATGTTTATGAGAGCACTAAAACAATTCTTAGGCTCTAAAATAAGACATTTAATGATGGATTATACTATTGTATTAAACAGTTATTATTTCCAAAATGTATGCTAAGAGTCTCTCAGGGCTAAAAGCTACATACAGAGTCAAGAAAACAATTTATATGAATTTCCGGTGTCAGCCAATGTGGACCATAAAACGTGGAAACTATTGATGCAAAGACGAGCAGTTTAATTCAATTCTATAGATTGTGTTGTTGGATCCTGACGTGAAAACAGTTTTTAAAATATATCTGTAAATTATAAGTCATTTATCTATTTTGAATAGACATAATTTCTCTGTGTGCCAGGAATTTGGTCATTTTATTGCAGGAAGATCCTGTTTTTCCAGGGGAAACAGCAGTTAGCAAATCACAAATGTATAAATGTATTTGTTACATTATAAATTATTTACATTATCCACAACAAAAATCCACTGAATAAATTATTGGGCAATAATTTTTCTAATATATGTTTGACCTTAATATAATTTTCTGTTTAATTAACCCTGTGATCCATGAATTATGAAATCTTCAGCCATGATTTTTTAAACAATATTTTCATTCATCTTTAGGTGCGAATGAAGCAAATTTCATATTTACATATTTTTTGTAACATTTAATTTACACATAGATTATTACATGTCCACCTCAATGGACAGCGTGCATTCCGAACATGAAATATGTTGGCTTGACTTACTGAAGTCCAAATGGAGGAGCTCAAATGCAATAAAGTCTTCAACAGCTGTGCTTAATAGCAAAAATAAATAAATAACAATTTTGAGTACCTGTCCACTGTAGTGACCATTATGCATCAAAGGGTTAATAAAAACTATTTCAAGAAAAAAAGCTTAGGAAATTATGAACGTCAGTTACTCTTTCCGCCCGCCAGGTGTCGCTGTCGGCGTCCAGGTCACGGTTGAACTAAAGCGCGCGGATATTCGATTCTTCCGGAAGTTGAAAAAGCAACAACAATGGCGGACGAAGTTAGCGTTTGTTGCACCACAGACGAGAGTATAGATAAAACAGTCAGTTTTAGTCGCGTCAGCGCAGTTGCCACAGAATGGATGTTTGATTATTTCTTTGTAAGCTTGTGTCGGTGCTTCAAAGAGAGAAAACGGGATGAATTCAACGAGATGCTTTCAGTTTTTGAGGGTGAGTTGTTAATGAAGCTGTTGAAAAATAAACTAATTTATCTGGTGTAGGGAACATTGATTACATTTGTGTTTTTATTTAACATTATATGTAAAAAGTCAGAATAGACTGTTTTCGTGGTTAAATTAAGATGTGCAGTGATTAAAGTTTTGTTGTGGTCACGTGAAACTGATCCGACTAGCAACAACAACAAAAACGTATTTTTAAAACAAAGAAACAAAAAATAAATATAAACCTAAATGAATTAAAGTTCAAATCAACCTTTGGCTGCTGGAAAGGAAAAAATATAACTACAAAAAACATACATTTCATGTGGAAACTTTTTTAGAATTTACATCCCAAGGCCTATAAATTGTAACACTCATTTAAGTTGGCGAGGAGTTAGCATTAAGAAACATGCAGTGATTGAATAGACGGTCTAAATGCTAGAATTAAATAGAAAAATCGATTTAAGCATGGTATTAAAGAACATGATTAAACCCAAATTTTAGCTTCATTCCAGGTAATACTTGGTAAGCGTAAATGTTCTGAATCATAAACCGTAGAGTAGTATTGCCATATTTTTCACTGGAAGGGGTCAATATATCAACAAACAAAATGACTATAGTTGCATATTTTCTGTTGTGGGTGACAAAATAACATCCAGAAGAAAGAAAGAAGGTCTAATCTGCACGTTTTGTGATATAAAGTACGAAAGGGTACAGTAGAGAGGACTGTGTCATATTAGTAGTTTTCCATAAAAAAGGTGGATTTTGTGTCATTAAAGTCAAGGTAAAATGCTTATTTGTTAGTGTACTGCTGCATGACCTGAAACATTTCTGTGAACCTTGTGGCTAACTGTTTATTTTTTCTCTTCCACAGTCATTTCCGAGAATGAATCCCTCAAAGGCACGACCATTCATGAGAAAACATTGATATGTGCTTTACTTGTAAGAGTCATAGATGGAAAATGCTTGGGTAAGCTCCTGCAGACAGAGGGTGACTGAGACCCTTTTATTTTGAAATTTGCATTTATTTGCATCCCCGTGCATTGTTGTTGTTTCCTGGTTGATCTTGAATGATGGATTGTCATGTTCTTTTGAGTATTTAAAGATTTCTGGTCAGAACTGCTAAAACTTCTCAGTTTTCACCATAAAGTCAGCTATCTTTTCAGATTTGTTTTATTTATTACTTTGTTTAATTAAGACTATTGTTGTTTTAACCCAAAATACTCAGCATGGGACTATTTCCAGAGTTGTCTGCCTTGCTGTGATGCGATAAACTAAAAGTAAATGTGACTAATTCCTGTCCTCCTAGATGTGTTCTTGATCTAGATCAGCAACAATCTGTTTTTTCTCCAGATGAATTGTTTGACAAAGACCGGTCTATAATGCCACTGATGTCTGCTGCCAAAGTGTGGTTGGAGCTGAAAGACACTGTTGGTGATGAAAGTCTTTTCAAAAGCATCACAAGTCATTTGCTTATCCAGGTAACCTTGCTGTATTTTGGCCCCCAGTGAACACAGACATGTCTTAAATGTGTTCTTAAGTGACTTTAAACATTTTAAACACCCTTCTGCAGTCTGTAGCTGTGTGTCTGGAAAAAGGCCAAACAATTTCTGCTACCTGTTCCATCGAGTGGTTCAAAAAACATGTTGACATCCCACGGGTTGGTTTATTTGTTTTTTCACTTTTTATTTACTTGTTAAGTGTTTTTGTTAGCTGTCTTAGTGCATGTACTGATTTTTAACTGTTCTGTAACAGAGCCTGGCACGTAATCTATCAACTATTGTGCAAAAGAAGGAAACTTACCACTCACTCTTCAACAACTTCAGCCTCAACCGCCTGATGGAGACCATCCAGACGTTCTTAGATTCATATTTGAAGAAGCATCCGTCTGACTATCTACTCAAGGTGCAGAGATTTGTTAAACTGAGTGTGAGAAATACAAAGTTTTTCGAGTCCTGAATCACTTAAGAGGCATTTTAAGGGGGTGATGTGTGAAAATGGAAAGGATTGACATATGGAATTAGTTTTTATGGACATTTTCCTCCCAGTCTCAAAAGAAAGCATCCAGGAGCTCCTGGAATGAGCCTGTTTGCAAGTGTAGCAGCAAGAATTTGTTCAGTTTTATTATTCCCAACCTATATGATTACTCCTTTTAATCATGAATTAATTGCTGCTGGATTCGTGGGCTGCATTTGAAGGACTCGTTGAATTTGGACTGCTCTCATTGTGGTGCTGTGATGTCACAGGCTGTGAATGCCTCCACACTTCCTGCTACCAGAGCCAATCAGATGTGAGCCTGCAGGGTTGCCAAGTCTGCACCTGCATTTGTAATTTGACACCAGCTGGCAAAGAGCAGCAGAGTTGTGGAGAGAACGTTAGCCATTACCAGGAGCGACCCAGAGCTATTTCTAAGACGCCACCGCATCTCTTTGTTTACACCAATGTCGGGTGAAGAAGGTTAGAGACTAAAGTTCAAGTGCAAGTAACACCTAAATGAGCTTTTTTTGCTGATAACCTGAATAGATGAGTGTCTAATTGTGCTGTGCACATGTGTAATCATTAGTGTGGCAGTTAAGTGCAACTCACTTTAAATTTGATATTTCAGCCCAAAGCCGTAATTCTATCTCCATCTTCAGGTTAAAACTCTGCTCCACATTTATGTAGAACCAGCTGTGGCTGATGGCTGAGCTGAAAAACGTGACTTTGTCAGCAAAGTACTATGTGGCTGCACCGCACTGGTCTCCAGGTGAGGCAGCCACACCTCCACCTGGCTCAGCCACTCTCACCTGCCGATATGACACATTGGCTCCCGGAGCCGCTCGCCTCTTTGGAAAAAAAACGCCCTCCTCCCCTTTTCATCTAATGATCGCGTTTAACAGGAAATCCTCCAGAATACTGCAGAATCTTTCTGCTTAGTCTACTGCGGGTGTGTGCTCTTTAGCAACTCCTTTTTAGACTGAGAAACTCCAACATGGCCCCGCGGGGGGGTTGAGGAGGGTGCCGTCTACCACTACCTCAGTGCCGCAGTCTCGGTCCGCCAGGCGACGCCTCTTTCAGAAGCATTTTTCTAACAGGAAGTGAGGATGAAACAAGTCTCCACCCATGCCTTGACTCCCACTTTAATCAAACATCTCGATATTACAATAAAATCTATTTATTTACCTATTAACTTACTGTGTATGACTCGTCTTCGCTCGTCATCTAGAACCTTCTGGCGCTGATCCGTCACTAGCAACAGTTGCTCAGAGTGACCTCGATGGTTTTGATACATGGCTGCTGTACCCATATTCCACCACAAGATTTTGTTCTTGCATCATGCACCTTTAGGGTGCTGATGTGTTTGATCGCTCGTTTATAAACAGACCAGGTGTGTTATTTTCTATCCCTGTCAGTTAAAGTCTATATTGCTTTTACAGAAACTTTAATTCGAACTCTAATGTTTCTCTCTTTATCAGGCAGCTACGAAGGTGGCCCAGTCTGCCCCAGACATCCAGAGTTCAGAGGAGGCGGAGCCACAGGATGACACCTTCTCAAAGTCATCCAGCACATCAGTTCAGAAGAAGAAAAGGTAGGAAATTATTTTCTTATACTCTAAATTTTAATAACAATTTGCAGGATTTGTTTTATCTTAATAGGAAGTAAAACATTTTAATTTGTCACATTTTCTCAGAAGAAAGCGGAACCTGCTTTCTACCCTTACTGATGTGTGGACACCAGAGCCGGTTGCTCAGCCTTTTGTCTGCATCAGACGACTTTCCAAACATGGTGTGGATTCATTTCTTTCAGTTTTTACTTTCCTAACATCCCTTCAGGTGTTAGCTGGCACATGCTTATCATCCACGATGAAGCCTAACAAATCTGACTCGTCCTCCCATCAGAGATATCCCAAATGACATCTCCGGCTAAATTTGCAGAGACCTCCACAGCGGCAATGAAAAGGAGGGTGAGTTTAGCTAAAGAGCATGTTTTTATCTTTAATTAACACCAAACCATAATCAGAAAGTTTGATTTTTGTTTTTGCGCTTTTTAGAAATGGACCAGCAAACTGGACAAATTCCTCGAGCAGGGTGTAAGACGCCACGGCGTGGGAAAGTGGGCTCAGATCCTGAATGATTATGACTTTGAAGGTCGTACTAGCGTGATGCTTAAAGATCGTTGGAGAGTTTTAATAAAGTCACATCAAGTGGGCTAAAGAAAATGACCCTCCACTTGCTTTAATGTAGAATTCTGTAAAAAGAAAACATTTATCTTTTTTTGTTCTTGAAGTTTTGAGTGTTCCTTCCCATTCATCCATCACACCTCAAGAGGGCGCCAGACACAAAATAACGAGACCATAATGCAGCAGCTGTTGCAGGGAGGAAGTGCAACGATTTTAACTTTTTTATTTTTATTTTTTTTTATAAATGTGCATTTTAATAAAATGTTCAAAATCAGCTGTGAGTTTCACGTGTAATAAAAACAATCAAATGCTTTCTGTGGTGTTTTTAAATGAGCATGACATTAGCAGTAATTGGTGTTTTAGTCTAAATAATTCTGTGGAGTAGAAACATCTGAGTCGCATCCTGATCATCTCGAGTTTTTAAACCTTGTGGTTTGGTGTCATCCAATCCAAACGCTATTTTAGGTGTTTCTGCTGAGGATCAGATGAAGACAAAGCTGTGTTGTGTCGGACAGGTGCACTTGACAGTTCTGTGGACTTTCTTCCATGTCCCTCTGCACCGAGGGTTCCCCACCGCCTGCCAGTGGAGCACAGCTTCTCTGCAACACAATTACACCGCATCGGTTTCACATCAGCCTGTGCTAAAGGTTATGTTTTCATCTCTGAGCATCTAAAGGCTTATTGACTACCTCATTTGGAACCAACACGTAAAAGTAGGAGGTGTCCTTATCAGAGGTGGTCAAAATGGGATTTGAACTATTTCTGTGACCTTTACCCAAGCTCCTGGGCGATATCTGACCACTCCTCCCAGCAGAGTTGCATAAAATTGTTGGTTTGTTGGCACCGTTTTACCTTTGAATCATTGTTCCCAGATTTCCAACATGTTCCGAACTTGCGGAAGACCATTCCAGAAGCCTAATGTTTTGTCCGGTTAGAAACTGGTTCTGATGTGACAATTTTGGGAATAGACCTGCTTGGTCCCGCATTATGACACTACCACCACCATGCTTGATATCGAAAATATAACTTTCGATCAACAACTATTCTAAGAATGCATTTGGTCTCTGTCCAAATGTTTCTCATCCAGTCATAAAACATTTCCCTAGAGACACTTGAATGGTCCGTGTCGGCAGATGCAAATTTCAGTCAAGCTCTAAAGTGTCTCAGTGGAAGCTGATCACCTGCATCCTGTTCATGTGTGCTTTATAATCATTCAATACTTGAAAAGTTACATTTAAAATAATTAAAATCCAAATATTTATGCTCAAGATGAGTGAATGTAAACTTAGCTTTATTGTTGCTAAAGAGGAAAAAAACACGTGAAGATTTTATTAACTTCTTACTTGTCTGATTCCTGGCCATCTCCTTGGCAGCTGTTACTATTGTTACGCAAGGCAGGGGGTTGACAGGCTACACACACTTTAAAACCTTCTGTAATGTAGCGCATCCAGAGTGTGTGAGGCTGGTTCCCCACCGTACAGTGTGGTGTCCGTGACTCCAGCTGGAATTCCACACAAAACCTGAGAAACAGTCAACATTAGACAGAAAATGCCTCAAAAGATTCAGATCAGATGAGATAAACAGCAAAGGTAACACAGCAGCAGCTAGTAATTTCTTTCCTCCCTACAATTAGACCAACCTTTTGTGCGTGTGTGTGCTTTTCATGTGACAGTCCTGGGTATTTGATTTCAAAGGATTGTGGGTCGTCTCTCAACATTGTCATACTTAATGGTCTGTACACAGACAGCCAGGTGGGCAAACAAAGGTAGCTCATGTGGATGGAGCACAGTTACAGTTTACGTTCATGACAGCAAACTATTGTAAAACACTCCAGGTCATGTGAATTTGGTGGTTTTCGTATATGAGACTGGTGTGAAACCTACCCAGGGTCCAGGGGATTTCCATAGCTGTCATGCTTGGGCCTCCCTCTGCCAAACCCCATGCTGCTAATGAACGCAGGTCCTTATAAGAAAAATAAGAAATACATCACAGTACGGGAGAAGTGTGATATACATCTCAATACAGTAGCCTAGTGAACTAGACCAAGTTCTTGCTTTGCGTTTCCATTGGAACCTCCACAGCTCCTAGCAGCGTTCTTGCAGACCAATCACAGCTCTCAAACCGATAGAGCACTGTGATTGGTCCACAATGGTGGTCTTTCCTCTTTGTGGGCCAATCGCAGTGCTCTATCGCCTTTGTAGGCCAATCAGGGCCCTTTATTTGTCTGGTGAGCGGGATGATGCGACAGAGTGGAACAAGATGGTGACAGCTCATTTGAAGCAGTTTTAGGCTTTATTAGAATCAGGAGCAAATAGATGCATTTAAGTCCTTTATTTATAAAAATTATGTATTATCACCTTCTTCAACAGCGGACTGCCTTGTTTACCGGCATCTGTTGCGGTGAGTACGTCACGCTCGTTGTCCAGTAGCATGCAGAGATCGTTTGAAAGACAACAGTAAAAACCCGCCCCGCAACAGTCAACGAAGCGTTGCCGGACAAAATTATATATTTATTTAGTCTGACATGCTAGGATAGCAATACAGGGGAGAAGATACACTATATATCGTAATATGGGAGAGGAGATATGATATACATAACAATACGGGGAGACGATACGATACATGGATATGTGGGGGGACGATACAATATATAGATATGTGGGGGGACGATACGATACATAGATATGTGGGGGGACAATACAATATATATCTCAATATAGGGGAGGAGATACGATATACATCACAATACGAGGAAACGACACGATGTATAGATATCGCAATACGGGGGAAGAAAAAAATTGCAACACGGGGGCGGTACGATATATATCACGATACTGAGAAGACGGTACAGTATACATCACAATACAGGGGAGATTATGCTAAATGTTGTGATGCTAAAAGCCAGACAATGTTTGCAATTTTTTAGACTGATAGCCGTAAAAACTGCTTCCACCTAGCAGTCAGATTTAGAATGACACCTTACAAAATAAATATTGTAAATGTAAATTATCAATTAGAAAATCTATAAATTGCTTTTAAATATCAATTTAGTAACATAACACGAAAAATGGTGATATTTCAGTGTATTGATATTTTTTATGTCCCTATTGCTCACATGATCTAAAATGTAAAACTTGGCGTGTATTCATGTTTGGATACCTGAGTTGCGTCCACAGTGGCTGTCCCGGTGGTCTCTGTACTCCCTGCACCCAGCTCTCTCCTCCAGCCTTGGACAGGACTCTCCACTGTTACTGGGCCGCTGCTCTATGTGTCGGACTCGAACTCTCACCGAAGGCTGGCAGGGCTTGGCGCAACTGCTCCAAAAGCTCCAGTCACTAACAGCACAATCTTGAGCTAAACCCATGAAGCCAAGCAGAAAAGTAATCTAACCGGATGGACCGTTAAAATCTTGGGCCTCACACTTAATCTGTGCACAGGTGTTCAACAAAAGTCAGACTTTGATCATCTCCTGCAGACTGTATAATCATATTATTAACATGAAATGATCTCATCGAGCTAAACATCCAGGAAATAACTTCAGACCATTGAAGCACTGATTGTGCAGCTTGTTTTTTTCTGCTCTACTTGAGTCGATTTGAGAGCCCATTCAAGTCCTCTGGTTATTTTTTCTTTACCGTTGCTCTCTGTGCCTAATGATGGAGCTTTGATGTAACAGACGTGCAGATTTGGAGGCTCGTATTAAGTTTGTCTGACTGGAGCTGTAATTGCTTCAACTGATTGACAGAATCACATTCCTTGAATTTTTGTGCTAATTCCATTATGTGGGCCAGTCCACTGAGATGGGGTTAGGCATGAAGCTGCTTGGGTTGTTTGGTCTTCACCCACTGATTAAGATAAATGTGTCGTCTGTGTATCCATCTAATCTGTTAGATTCAGGAGATAGTCTGTCTTTTAACAAAAACGGGTTATCTCACTGTGGTGCCGTAAAGATAAGGTGTGCACAAAAGCTCCTTTGTAACTGATTTTCCCCTCACCTGGACACTCTGTGAAGTAGTCAAAGCAGCAGTCCTTGGTTTTGACACAGTCCTCATCGCAGTAGCACTTCCCGTACACACGATCCATCCTCCAATCAGTCGTTGAACAGCTCAGATCTCTTCCCCGACAGCACCTCCTCGAACAACCTCCAGCCACCAGGCGGTTCTGGCCGAGCGTAGACAACACCAGCAGCCAGCAAGCAACACCAACATGGGGTTGCATCACGAGGAGAGGTCAGGCCAAATGTCCGGCCCTGGAGACAAACTGCAAAGTTTTCCTCTTTAGATGTATTTAATCCCAGACTCCTCCATTCATGCTTGAGAAGGAGTGGTTGGGATATCCTAAGGACTGAGCTCCACCACAGGAGCCCTTGTGACCTGGAATTCCTGCGTCCGTCTCCTGTGTCCAGCCTTTTTCTCTTTCACACACGGCTCTGCAAAAGCATCCCACAGCTCAGAACATCTTAGGACTGACCAAACATCCACATTTGTCCACATATGTCTTCTTCTCCTCAGATGCGGTGCAGGCTGCCAGATGAGCACCTCCCTCCAGTAAGAGGCAGTGGGACATTAAGGGAGGGGTGAGAGCTGCTGGGTTTCCTTTCTGTTGTTTCTCTCTTCCCTCCTCCTCACCTGCTGTGTTCCTGTGTACTTATCCGATTCCTTCAGGAAAACTGTGATCCTGATGCCTCTGTAGCTCTGTCGCCACCTTAGATCTCAGAACGATGAAACCACATGACTGATGTTGACATTTTAAATCACAAAGTCAATTGTTTTCTGATCATCTCTTTGACTGAAAAACCATCACTCTCAGACAACATTCTTAATAGTCTTGCTTTTAGTTAAGTTTACAGTTTTGTTTAGTAAGGTGTAGATTTACTGTGACTGCACCGTGTTCAGTGAACATCAAAGTGATTTTTTTACTCCTTACATTCAAAACTCCTTCCCCTCACTGAGTAAATGTCAGAGACAATCAGTGTCATGATGTATTCTCATACGTGAGTTGGAGCATCTACTTGAAATGTTTTTGTTTTCCGATTTGTTTCCGATGTCGACTCAATTCAGTGGTGTTATACGTGTAAATCCAACAACGCAATCATCTTAAAGTGTTATAAAACAGCGACAACACCAGTTTCTATTATAGATGTCTCTATGGATGCCTTGTAAGTTGTACTCTGGGGTGAAAAAAGCTCCGGTGCGTCTGTTTCAACATGGAGAATTCAGCCCGAGGAGAAAGTAGCTTTAGACGGCAGGAGTTGGAGTCTTATTTCCTGATATTTGGACATTGCATCTCGGATTTGGTAACAGCAACGCGTCTCTATCACTGACTCTGTTTGCTTTGCAACGGTGATGTTTTATCTACACACATAACACAAGCCTGAAGGAGTTTGTGCCATGCTGTGGAGTTGCTAATGCTAACGGTTAGCTTCTATTGGGAGAGTTGTTCTCTGCTGTTTCCTGGATGCTAAAATAACAACAGTCTTCCTCATCTCGAGTCAAGATGTTTGAGTCCATGAATGTTAAGTGAAAGTGTGACGTAGATCTGTCAGGCTTTTCAAATCCTAGAGTTTCACCGTCTATTTTTTATCAGAAGCTAAAGCAGGAGATAGGTGTAGGCGACTATTTTCATGTCTAGCCTGCATGAAAAACCCAGAGTGACTGATCATTTAAAAAAAAAATTAAAAAAAAATTCTTTAAAATGGGTTCATATTCAAAGCTAAACCACACACCTGTGTGGACAGGGTCAAATAATCTCTCTATCTCTGAGTGTTTTGGTTTCAGGAGAGGGAGCAACAGCTGTTTCCAATCAGCTGATCAGCAGGCCGGTGTTCTGGGAATTTCTCCGTCCTACCATTGTTCCTGAGCATGTGCGCGCATGCGCACAACACAAAAAGGAAATGCTACTCCGTTGTCATATTTAGAGGAAAATAGGTAAGTTGTAAGTATTAGTACTTTTTATTGACGTTGATACTTGATTTTTTGGTTAGGGTTAGGGTAAGGGTTAGGGTTAGGGTTTGTGTCATCTAAAACACCGTAAAATTATCCTATGGGTGGGACATTTTGCCAAAGTAGGACATTTTCTCAGAACACCGGCTCACCCCTCCCACACGATTCTCGTCTATCTAAGCCGTAAGTACCTCAGCCAGCAATTCCCCTGCCATTCTACAACTCCTATACTCACCTCTGCTACTTTCCCCAGGGGTGTCAAATATGCGGCCCGCGGGCCGGATCCGGCCCGCAAGCGGGTTAAATCCGGCCCGCGAGATGGTTGTGTAAACTTTATTTTCCTACTTTACAATTTAGAGTGAAAATAAACTTATCGTTGTGAGCAAGTTTCCTCCATAATGAGTATAAATAAAACAAAGCTGCGCTCAAGGCTCACACAAGAACTTGAATCACACCCTGAAGTTGGCTGCTACTCAGGATGTGACGTCTGATATTGATGTGCTGGTGAAAGCTAAAAGATGTTAAGAAAATGAGTCAAATATACTTTAAGTGCTGCATGGAACTGATCTAGCCATGTGATCTGTAAGCTCTTTGAATCACTAAGGAATGTTTTTAGAATTTATTGATTTTTTTTTTTTTTTCAAATTGTCAAGTACACTTCAGGTGTTGTACTTGTACTATTTTGGATACACTGTCCTCAGGCTCCAGTCTTGTTTTATATTGATTGTATTAAAACAAAGAAAACAATCTGAAGTTGTTTTTAATTTACCGGTCCGGCCCACTTGGGACTAGATTTCCCTCAATGTGGCCCCTGAGCTAAAATGAGTTTGACACCCCTGCTCTAGACGCTGCTTCTCGTTTCTGCACCCACTGGATTTCCCAGTGCGCCCTTAGTTCATCGTTTCGTCAATAAATATATATCTTTTTTTATACAATCTGACTCTGACTCTGATTCTGCATGTCCTGGGTTGTTCATTATATATACATTGTCCCAGGCCACTTTGTTAGCAATATGTCAAAATTAGCTACTGTAATGCTAACTGCAAAATTCTCCTAGCCCAAACCACTGTAAACCTTAGCATGAGCTGTGCCAATGCTAACCTGAGCTACTGCTAATGTCTTTGTTCGATGAGGAAAACAGCAAAGAAGAATGTTGGAGCACCGCTCTCATGGGGCAG